CCCCAAAACCCCAAAACCCCAAAACCCCAAAACCCCAAAACCCCAAAACCCCAAAACCCCTATAAATATTTCCTAGTTGAAGAACAATTAATTTAAAACAAAATGATAAATGAAAGTGCGGCAAACCAAGGAATTTTCTGAAGAAAAATCGATCATTCCGTCCCATTATCGATCATGCCGTCAAATGGATCAAAAGCTGTCTTCAAGGCTAAAAGTATCATGAAGACTAAGTCCAAAGTAAGAATTTCAAGAGGAGAACGAAATAAGGAAAACTCTACAGGAAATGCGCAATTTCGGTATGATATCAAGCCTCCCAGAAAACCTGCAAGTATGCTTCCCAAACCTTCTTCCAGATTGAGCACTAATAAAAATACTCGTAAGGGGGAGTTCCAGAAATATGCTTATGATAGTAAGTCAAGAGAAAGGAGCATTCCAACAAAAGTTATGGGGAGGAAAGGATCGGTTCATACAACTTCCGCAAAACCTGCCAAAAATGATCCTGTATCTAAAACAGAGTTGCTTTACCAAAAAGCAAGGTCTGCCTTAGGAAAAAGCAAAAAGAACAAAAGTAAGTGCACTTAATAACCAAAAATAGCTAAAACTGAGTCATCTAAGCCCCCTTTACAGAAGCGAAGAAGTGAAGCTGTACTAGAAGTTATGCGCAAACAAGAGCGGATTAGGAAGAACCTCTCTCATAAAGGTTCCTTCTGACAGAGTTCCTCCCGGAACTCTAAGCCTAACCTGCTAGAAAGCAGGAAAAGTTCAAGAAATACCCAAGAAAGGATCAATAAAGCCAAATTTAGCACAAAAAGATCCCAAGTATCTGTTAAAAATAAGGAAGAGACTTCAAAAGAGAAACATTTTAAACTCTCTAGGAAAGAAGCGAGAGCCAGGATTGGCTTAAGCTCAATCCCTGATGAGAAGATCGAAGAATTTGTGAAAGTCAAGAAGACCAAAGTTAAGCCTCAAGTTATCCCAGAAGGCAAGAAATCCAACAGAGACCCAGTCCCTGTCTTTAGCTATGAAAGTCGTTCAAAATCACGATTAAATCAGGATTCTACCTCAAAAGAGCAAGAATCTGATGGCACGAATAAAGTAAAAGTGAGAGAAACTTTGAAAATCAAATTCCCAGAGGTACCTCAAGCTGAAGATCGGCGGATAGTTAGCACCATAGAATCTCGCTATGACCAAGATCTGGCTTCATCCATCAATGATTTTGATGAATTCACACCAATGTACTCAAAAATGACCAAGCAAAAGCTCAAAAAGACAACTTCAAAGCCTAAAAATCCAAAAATAACCAAAGAAAAGTCCAATATAAAGAGCTTCGGTGGGAAGCCTCCTAAATCCCAAGAAAATCCTTTGCGAAAATCAGAAGACAAGAAGGAGCTTGTCCGCCAGCAGAAGAAAGCCAATTACAAAAAACTTAAAGAAGAAAAAGATAAAAGAAAAGAGCGTGAGCTTAAGACAAAGCAGAATGTAGAAGCACTCAACCAATTCTTAACTAAATAAAACTCAGAATTATAAGAAAATCAAGGCATTAAATAAGGAGAAAGAACCAGAAGAGGACTTCCCAACTAAGGAAGCCCTAAAGGCAGAAACTTTAAATAGGCTGACTACCCAGCCGAGTACTAGGACAAGCTATAGACCTCCAGCTCGACCGAAGAAGGCTGTTGGGGATTCAAATCCCAATGTGATTTTAACAAACAGAAGGACTTACAACCCAAAGGGACCCTCAAAGAAGGTTATTAAGAAAGTGATCAATATCCCTACAGTAAAAATGAACAAGAAAAAGAAGGCCCATAACCAAAGTTTCCACTCAAAAGACGAAAGCTGAGAGGACTCCTCCCACAGAAAAGTAGTCATCAGCAAAATGTCCAAGGTCTCTAAAAATTCTGAAAAGAAAGCTTCTAGAAGTATCAAGACTAAGAAGACGAAGAAAGTCAGGAAGAATTCTCCGAAAAAGTCCCAGAGAGTTAATCATACTTCACTGTAAGTCTGAATTTCATAAAATATGGTCTTAAAGCTCATATAGGAACATGAACTGCAATGACGACAGTATTTTTAATGAGCATTCTGTGAACAAGAGCTACCAGCAAGAGTATAACTTTGATCACCCCATTACAAAGAACACTCTTGAAGATGTCCAGAGAAATTTTGACAGCGAAAGTGATTACCTGAACATTCATGGGGAGATTGAGCTCGACCCCATCAAGCCAGAGAACGGAGTCGAAGAGATTCAGCCTCAAGACTGGGAAAATATCGAGATGTTCAGCAGCAAAAAGTTTAGTGACATTCTCAAAAAGCACAAGAAAGTTATTAGGTATCAAGAATCTGAGTTTAATGAGGAACAGGAAAGCTTAATGGATATCCAGAGTAATCGTAAAAGTACTAATAATCTCCAAGTCACTGATATCTGTGACGATGAGAAAGATTTTGAGCAGCAAAAGACATATGAAAAGCCTTTATCACGAGAGAACTTTGATGGAGTACTACAACCTCCTCAAGAATTTGATAAGATCAGAAAAGCCAGCACACATCATATTAGAGAGGTACCCAATAAGGAAGAAATGAAGGTAGCCGAGCTAAAGACATTTCAGAATCAGTCTCGCTGTCCTGAGATCGCTGCTAACCACGTCAAAGAGTTTTCAGAGGGTAGAGCATCGAATAAAATTTTAACAGCCTCGATTAACTTACTCGATAAAGAAATTTTCTCAGATGAGAAGCCTCAAGAAGAGGAAGAAAACAAGCAAGAAGAAGAGAAAGATGATAGCTTATGGAAGCCACCAAATTGGAACTTCGGAGAGCCTCAAAAAGAAGGATTCTTTGAAGGCAATGTCACTTCTAAAAGAGTCATTGTAGATGACCTAGAAGATTTCCAGTATGATGACCCTGTTCCATATGATGAGACTGGAGGAAGTGACCATGATGCACTTGAAAATGTTAGTGTTTTCGAACATGAGACTTCAGAAGCTGACCCTGACCAAATTCCATTCAATATTGAAGAGGATCTACCCGAAAGAGACCATGAAGAAAAGACATACACAGATACACAAGGAGAGGATAAGGATACTCTGAAACAAATGAGGATCCTTTTCGGCTCTGAGCAACGGATCCGTGAACAAAGTGAGGCTGCTATTAAGCATCTAAACTGTGAAGAGCCAGAACAAGACCAAGACTCCGAACCAGATGAATTCCAAACACCAGGATTATCCCAACATGATGAAAGCAATAAGATAAGCTCGAGAATCTTTGGAAAGCAGAGCTTCCAAGATTTTTCAAGGAAGAAGTTCCAAGAAATAATGTTTGACGGCAACATGTCAGAATTCATGAATTCTGTTGAAAGGACTGTGAGAGAAACTGTTGGTGAAAGCAAGACGTATAGAAAACGTGAAGAAAAGGCCAAAAATTATACTTCATTTACTCCTAAAAAGACCTCATTTGCTTCTCCCAGAAAATTCAATAGGAAAGAACTCGAGCTAGACAGCATCGTAGGTAATAAAATGAAGTACATGTCTGAGAAGAAGAAAGCAAGAAAGAGTATGTTGGAGAATTACGATTCAAGCTTACTCAAGGATTTCCCTCAAGATCCCTTCAATAACTCTCAGGAAGTCTACAAGGCTAAATTTGCTAACTACAGTGCCAAGAAGTCCAACGACATAGTGTCCCAAAGGAAAAGTCTAGATCATAAGTCCGGTCAAGGACTTGAGCATCCAGACCATTTCGGTATAGCCCCATTGCTAAACTTTAGATAAGCCTAATTACAAAGTGGATATTGAAAGGACAGACCAAGTTTTCATGAAAAGCAAGCTGCAGTCTTCCAATGAGATCAAAATCAACTCTGCACAAGAGCCTGAGTCAATCAGGAGATCAAACGTAAGAGGTCTAGAAGTCATGATCAGTGAGAAAAGCCAAGAAATGGAGAATAGCAACCATCAGTTAGATAGAAAAGAAGAAGATGATAATAAAACTCTCAAATATGAACTAACTGAGGAACTAACTGAACAAAGAAGCCTAGAAAGGTATGGGCTTTTAGTGTTTATGTATAGGAGTTCTAAGAATATTGATGATTCTAAGAGCAAAGATAGTCCAAAGGATATTATGTATGACCAGCTTGAGAAAATCATGGGAAACTGCTTTACAAATGAAAAGAAGGACTCTATAATTGATGCACAGGATTATAAGACTCTTAAATACGCTGAATCAGATGAGGCAAATGAGGAGTTCAATAAGGACAAAGAAAGCTCAAACTCAGAAACCTCCTCTCCAACGACAGCAAAACGTATAAACAGAGGTCCCCTTACTCAACCAGCAGCTGAAACCCCAGAAGAAGTTTTTCAGAAGAAGTCTGAAGTTAACACAGTCATTACTCCTCGTGACTCTTCATCTAAAAATTCCTACCAGACTCCAGAAGACCACAGAAATAACCTTCAGAACAACATTGCACAAAAGGAAATTTCCAAGGCAATGTTGCAGAAAAGTTTCGAGTCTGGCAGAAGAGAGGATGCTTTCAGTCTTCAGTTCTACTCGAACAGCTCACATACTGAAGAACAGCCAGAGCATCGAGAGGCTGACAATAACGAAGACAACATCAGAATATATGTAGACCAATGGGACGGAGATAATAGTGAGAAAAAGTCAGAAGCCATGTCTATAGACCCCTTCAACTGCACTGAAAGCATGGGTATTCATACAGCTAAGAACAGTCCATTTGAAAGTAATACTAAAGAAAAGAACTCAAACATGAGCGAGAAGTATTCAGTTACTGAAGAATCAGGGGAGAAATACCTCAGCAGTGAAGCTAAAATTGGCGGGAATGCTTTTGACTACAAAAAGCCTAGCTTGAATAATATTAGGAAGAACTTACATTCTACCCTCCAAGATAATCTCAACAACAGCTCTAACAGTTTTGATTTCAAAGGTAGATTTTCATCTCTTAACTATAGATTCCTTATCTGCGAAATCTCACTCGATTTTGAAGAATACTCAGTCTACCATTGAAATAAATGAAGAGATCAAAGAAGTGGCTGAAGAACTCGCTAATAATACCCAGAACAACCCTCAGTTCTTGCATGAGTATCCTCATATGGTGTCTCCTTCAGAAAATGAGATAGCCTCTCCAAACTATATGGAAGATAACCAATGTATTGTTCTTTCAAACAAAAAGTGCAAGGAGGGTGATTCTGGCTCAGCAGTTATGGTCTACGATGTTGCAGATGAACCTGAAAATCCAGAAGAGACAAACTTGAACCATGAACAACAAGAAATCAGTAAAAAGAGTGAATATGTCACAGATGAAATCCTCTCAATGATGCTATTTAGTGACATTCACGACCATTGTCTGTTCCCATACAGGACAAATCAAGTGTTAAAAGAAGTGAAGGATAAATTCCCTTTCAATAAACCATTAGGTATTAAGACCAACGAAGAGGGTGTTTGTGAATTTATTGATCAGCTCATTAATCATATCCAGTCTACCTTTGTCCCAGCTGAGGATTATGACTTCTCTCCTTACCAAAATATTCATAAAGAGACTTATCTAGATCAAGTTCTCAAGAATTTAGAGAAAACTGTCAAAATTGACCCTGCAATTGAGCTAGCTCAATTGCAGGTTTATGAAGACAGCCCCCAAAAGAGCGATATCTTTGAAGACATTATCCCAAATGAAATCTTCTATTCCCTTGAGCAAGAGAGGAAAGCTATGTATGAAAATATCTGCAGTGAGATTAAACTCACAGATGAAGAAAGGAACAATAAAATCCATACGACGTTTATACATGACAAAATGGTCTTTGACAGTTTTAACCACGGCCTCAGCATTGTTGCCAGGAGGAAGATTGAATTACCACCTTGGCATTTCGACACAAAGGCGTTGTCCAATAGGAAGTATTCCCCAGGCCAAGCTTTGGAGCTGCTCTACAAAGCCAAAAACTTGGTGCTAAAATGGAATGATATCGGGGCTGGTACAAACAAAATTCCTCCATACACAGGTCCTGAGAATTCTAAGATAGAGGATATCTTTGCTCCACCTCCTCCTGTCCCGACTGAAGAAGAGCGGAACCAACAAATAAGAGAAGAAAAATTGTCAGAACTCTTAAGCAAGGAAATAAATGAGGAAGCAGACAATTATGAAGACTGAGCAACACAGGTAAAGCTAGATCTAGCAGACATGATCCTTGAAGATCTTGCTATGGAGATGGCTAACCTTTTGGTAACATTTTAATCCTCATTATAATAATTTGTAAAGTCGAGTATTTATTTGGGGTTTTGGGGTTTTGGGGTTTTGGGG